GGATACATTTTTTCCTTGCAGATTTTTGGGGAGGCTGATTTTATATGAATGAAGTTTTTTTTCTTCCCAATTTTCTCCCATATTTCCGGGTGCTCTGTGTTCTGACCAATCGAAATGCTGATTGATGTGGAGGTTATTTTGCTCTGACAGCGACTGTTTGTTGATGCGCTCCTCCTCAGCGGCCCACGGCGGACGGAGTGCTGAGAGACGGCCACCTGAGTCTCTCCGGGCTGCAGATGAGGGCCCACGCCATGTTCTCCGCACAGGGCCTCCCGGTGGCCAGCGACACCTTGGAGTACGCGTGGCTCATCGACGTGCAGGCCGGGGCGCTCAGCGGCAGGGTCACGGTTCCTCAGGTGTGTGACTCGTGAAACGATTGGCCTGCATTCGTGTGAGGTTTGTTCGTTCACCGTGGATTTTCTCACCTCTAGCTGGCCAGCATGGTGGAGTGGGCAGAGACCTTTGTTTTCCACGTGGTTTCTCAAGAGTTCCAGCTGGAGCAGCCAAAGCCCTCCATCGTCTGCCAGCACGGCGTTGATCGCCGCATCTGTGACGCCAAGGTATGGACGGCAGCAAAAAGTAAAATAAAGTATCCAAAGAAATAAACCAATCTGAGCTTATTTAGAATATTCAAAATACACAAATAGTTAAAATATAATGATGTACTCTTTTTATTTTATTCAGCATATTATAAAAAAAAAAAACCTTTAGCTCTTAATTTTAAGTGGAAAAAAATTTATTAAAGAATCATCATTAGTCGATTGATTATTTAAACATTTTAAGTGAAATATTTGTTTCTTTTGAATACTTTATTAACATGATTTCAATTTTCAACCGATCATTCGAACATATTTTTAATTATTCAACTCTTATAGGGCAAGTTACCATTTTTGATCACTTGCATCCCCTTACGCATGAAGGCTTTTATCTACAGTTTGTGGACTTCCTGATAGTAAAGAATTACAATAGTCCAGCCTTGAAGTAACAAATGCATGGAAATCAGAGTTTGTGAAGAACAGAGAAAACAGAATCTGTCTCTGAGGCCTGTTTGTCTTCCAGCTGAGCTGCCTGCCTGGTCACTGCCGCACATCTGAGGAGCTGAAGTACACCATGACCCGGCTGGCCGTGGATGGAGCCGACCTCTTCATCGTGGAGCATGGTTGTGCTGCCAACGTCAGGGTAATTAGCACCAAGGGCGTCACGCACGGGGTCCCTGGATCTCTGACGGTGGGCTGATGTTTCGCTTTTTTTTCCCAGACGGGCATCATCCGAGTCGCCAACTGCAACCTGCACAACCAGGCGGTGGGGGAGGGGATCAGCGCCGTGGTGCAGGACGTGAACATCCGGCAGTACATCGAGCAGCTGGCCGGTCAGGGTCAGGGTCCGGGTCAGCCCCCGCTGCTCCGCCGCTCCGTCTGGCTGGAGGCGGGTTCGGTCAACCTGAACCTCGTCACGGCGGATATCGCCCTGGCCGCCGACCACCCGGCCAAATGTGAAGTCCAGAGACAGTTTCTGGAGCTGCATGACGCCCAAACCAAGAGGTGGGAGAATAAAACATCCTTTCTTTTTCTCTGCTGCATCTCATTACTCAGCTGTGAGTTCAGCCGTGGAACGATGGTAGAAACTGTTCAGATGAAAACTCTGCAGCTTCCCAGAGCGGCTGACTCACTCCTCTGTGGAGTGACTCACTGACTGCATGATGTCCAGCTGATCATCTGCTGCAGGTCTGTCTGCTTCTCACGCATCAGAGCTGAGATGATGAACCCAGAACGCTGTGGTTCCCTAGTATAAACTACAGCCTCCTCTAAATCACTAGTCTAATATTTAAATAGCTTATTTCTTCAGGACATCACAGTAGAAACAGACTTGGCTGTTTATATTCTGTGGCTTTTTAAATGTAGTTCAAACTGGTTCAAAACTGAAAAGGGTTTGTCACTATTTTGCGTTTTTCCCTCCCCAAAAATGGTAGCGTACTAAACTATATTGTGTTAAAAGTTAAGAATATATTTTCTGAGTATGTCATTCTGAGCGTGTCCGATGACGTCAGAGAAGCAGTTTAACTAAGAACATGTAAATGCATAAAAAGTGTCTCAGAAAAATCATAAAACATTTTTAGTGATTTAATGACGTAGTGAAATCATATTTAAATGTTGCATCATTCTAGCTTAAACATTTGTATAAATGTACTCTATCAGACCATATTGTCCCAAAATTTAGAATATTTCTATTTTAAGCAAAATCCTCAAACGTTTAAAGATTCTTATGCGTAGGTAAATGATGCAGTTTAACGCAGAGCAGATTGTAAATGTTTGACTGGAGCAGAGAATCAGCATCAGCTCTGTTGCTCCAAAGGATTTCCTTTCTTTTCCTGCAGTCCTTTCTCTAATTTAAACAGTGGAGGACCTGCTGGAGCCTGAGACCGAAAGCTTATCATCGCCTTCTGTAATGTTCTCCATTCTCCTCTTCCTCCCAGGCTCTGGTTCCTGTGGCCCGAAGACGCCAACATTCGCACCAAACGAAGCCGGAACCGCTGCGGCTGCCTGGGAGGCTGCAGGTTCTTTGGAGGAACCAACATGGGTCTGGACTTCTTCAGGCTGGAGGAGCTGACTCCCTCCTCCTCGACGGCCTTCGCCTCCTCCAGCGCCGAGTCGGACATGAGCTACGGCCAGTCGCTGCTGCAGCCTGGGGAGTGGATCATCACCAAGGAAACGCCTAAAGTGGACGGTAGGAAGCCGTAGAGATTAACGCTTTGTTTCTAACGGACTGCACGGGGAAGAGGAGAGATCTCAACACTGCGGCTTTCGGTCACTGACTTCTCCTCTAAGCTCATCATGAATCCAAGTTTTTATATTTAAATGATTTTCAAACAGCCGACCTCCTTGGAGGAAAATGAGTTTCAATTCAGTTTATTTCAGTTTATTTCTATAGCGCCAATTCACATCACATGTCCTCTCAGGTCACTTTCCAGTTCACCAGATCATCCAGTCAGATTGATTCAAAGTTTTCTATCTAAGGAAAACCAGCTGATTGCATCGACTCATTGACT